GGCTGCATTTCCTTGTCCTTGCAACAATTATGTAGTATCATTTTCTATAGAGAAAACAGAGATAAAAATTAGATTTTTTTCTAACATGATTAACCCAAATCTGTCTTTATTATTGACAGCTCAGGTACATAAAACATAGAAAATTGCACACATGTTCACTGTTTTTAGTACTGCTGTAAGTTTGTTCCCTACAAACACAGGAATACTAGTAAACTCAACTTTCTTTGATTCTCATAAAAATTACATATAATTACATAGTTTTATAATTACATAGTTTTCCCTGGAAAGTATTATTTATGACAGGAGAGAACGTACATTTTGATGAGACACAAACTAAATAAATACTTAAATTTTTAGATATGTATTCATCAGAAGAACTTTTCATAGAATAGGTTTTGGTCTGTACGTTCATACCGTGTTCATCCTCCACTAACCTCATATTTCCAGTGCTGAGGGTTGCAGATACTTTTTTTTCTCTCCATAGGATTGCTCTTCCTGATGCATTATCTCACTATAGCAGTGCAGTGGGCCCTCAGAGAATTCCCAGAAGTCATTCCTATACAAGGACAGCAACCAATAATGTAATTATACGTGGAAGTGACTGCAAACTCCATAAATCAATCTCATTTGATACAGACTGAATATATATCCAACTCAACTTTCTTTAAGCTGGACCTCCAAAATGCCCTCGACTACTCCAGTGACGTGAAAGGAATAAAGAGAAGTCAAAGTCAAAAGTGAGTAGAATTAAGCTAAAAGATCTTACCTTTATAAATCTTTCAAATAGATAATTCAGTTTAAACACATTCCTAGATCCCTCCCAGGCATGAATCCTTATCTGGGCACTTAAAATAATTGCTTTTTAATGTAAAATTTTTATTGAAGATAACTTTCCTTCTCCTCAAATCTTAAGTATATGTTTTGATAAATTTTCACATGTATATATTCATATCACTAATACTCAGATAAAAAAAAAAAACAGAACATAATCATTTTTCCAGATCACTTCTTGTTCCATCTCCATCACTATCCCTGACAGAGTTAACGACTAATCTGACTTCTAAAATCATAGTTTAGGTTTATCTGTTTTTGAACTTCATATAGATTTATACAATATGTACTCCTATGTCTGATTTCTTTATCTTGATATATTTGTGAAATTGACTTATATTGTTGCATATGATAGTTCCTTCATTTTTATTGCTGTATAAGCTTTCATTGTATGAATATGCTACAATTTATATACTCATTTTATGATTAATAAAGGCATTTTGGCAGTTTCCAGAAGATCTATTACTAACAGTGCTGCTATATGTCTTTGGGTGTAGAATGCAATTTAGATAATTATACATCCAGAGTGATAATTGCTGGGTCATAGAGTATTGTTGTTCAGCGTTAGAAGATACTGCCTAAAACTTTCCCAAAATGTACTGATTCACACATATCTTGACTGAAACTTAGTAATATCTGTCTTTTTAATTTTAGATGTTATGGAGGGTTTATTTATAGTATTATCAAAATGTTATAATTGGCATTTCCATGATGATCAATTAAGTTTACCACATTTTCATATGATTATTGGATATCCTCTTCTGTAAAACATCTACTTAAGTCTTTTGGCCATTTTTCTATTTGATTTTCCTTTTCTTATATATTTATCACAGTGTGTTATATTTTATGGATATTCTTAGATTGGTTGCATTTTTAAAGAAGCACCTAAATGAAGTTAAAATCTTCACCAAGCTGAAATATTTTAAAGACTTCTTTTATAGTTTTCACATTTCTATGAAAGTAGATAGGAGTTTTTAAATAATTTGCTTCCAGCCATGGTACAGAGCTTTGCATTCACCTTCAGAACCATGTTCTTTTTTAAGGCTGTCACAAAATAAACTTACTTCTGCACAGCAAAAAAATAAATAAATAAATACTAAATAAGAGTTTAACTAGATGATTTATGAAATAGTAAACACCTATAACAATTCACCCTAATAAGAGGTTTTATTTTCACTGTAACCTTACACAATATTTAATATAACATCTAATCAAATAACTTTTAATAATATATGTACTAGCATAATAAAAAATGTAATTTCACTTAAAAAAACAAAGAAGTTTTAAGTGCATTTGTAAAAACAAAAGTTACTACTTAGATGGAAAGCAAGTGACTATGTTTAATACCATAACCTAGGAAAACATTTGCATTCTCATATTTTTTAAGAACTAATTTTTTCATTCTTATTTATAATCACTAAAAAATATATGTCATAGAAAATTGTATATAATACTACATAAAGATCCTACTCCAGTTAGAATATTGAGAATTGTATGTTTTCATTGTCTAAATCCTCAAATGCCTTGAAAGAAGTTTATTATAAACATACCTTTTTTTTTTAGACAGGAAAGAACTATTTCTTTTTTTTTAATTATGGTCTTTTCACTTTACTGACATTTCTTAATGAGTTTACTTTATTTGGTCAGAATTGAAAGAAATTTTCAATGTGATATTTTGAATATCTAATATGTTTACAAATTTAATAAAATTCCAAAACTGAAACATTCCAGATTTTATTATGATTTTTTCTTCATGCTTTTGTAGGAACTCTAATAGTTCTCTAGAGTATTAGACTGTTTTTTGGCGTAGTGCTAACAAAATGAATATTGCCAGAATGTTACTATTCCTTTAGTTTTCTATTTTTTTATGTTTCTTATTTCTTCTAAATACTTACTCTACATGGCTGAAAGATATTCACTCCATCAATTGTCACTAGACATAATCAAAACTGAAAGAAGTTATATTCAATACGCTTCTCTTGGGGTAAAATAATTCAAATAAGTTCTCCTCGAAAGCAGAACAGGAGCAGAGTATGGGAGAAGAAGACGTATTTGTTATAAACCTGGCCTCCTAAAATGTATAAAAGAAAAAATATGACATAAATGATGAATTATCAACAATATTGTTATTTTGTTTTTACAAATTTAAAATTCACACACATTTGTCTTATCCAAAGGACTCAAAGATAATTTCCAGCTGGCTATAATGGAACCCATGCAGAGAATATTAATCAAAATAAATTCAAAATTTTGGGAACCATTGCTTTCTTTTATGCAGAAAGTCGCATTGCTGGTTTCTCCTCCTATAGTGTATACAAAGCAGGAATAAAAAAAATAAGAACAAAGACTATAGAAGATGTAAAGATATGAGAATTGCAGTTAATTTTTGTCACATGTCTGAGCACAGGGGAAAAAAAACACCTCCTAGAATTGAAAATTATTAACATTTAGATTCTATATTCCTTCTTTTTAAGTTCATTCGTAAGAAGGTCAAAAGCAAAAGGCTTTTTTTAACTTTACAGGTTGGATTGCCCTAGGCTTTGAAAATGTGTTTTAAACAAGAGAGTGAATCATTATGGACGAGCAGATTGGATTTGCAAGTATTTGACTGTTTTGGTACTTCATGCCTGAATGTTTTCCAACTCTCTGTACCATAGATGCTTCCCACACATTGAAATGTCTTACAGTTGTATTCAGAGTAAAAGAAACCAGGCAAGGAATTCTATCTTCCAAAGAGAGTCTCACTATATATAACATTCATTTGGTTGTCAAAACAGAAAAGGGCTGCCTGACAAATGTCTAAATATCACAGTGTTCATGTAGGCCCATTGTCTGAGGTTTGTGTTTTACATTTACATTAAAACATGTTTATTATATTTATTGCTCATATAAAGGTTTTTTTTTCATTTTAGTTTTAAGTGATGTGTATACTATTTTTTTGCAGTTATGAAAAGTTACATTTTATGCAGTAAAGATGAATTAGTTATTGTTAGTGAAGTGGAGTTTCATATATTCAAGGGGAAGAAACATATAAAAAAAACTTTTATATTATTTGACTCATAGCTTTTAGTAATGGCAGAATATTGTTTCTCTTTTCCAGATTATTATCACAGGTAGAACCTTTAAAGGTCTGTGTTCCTCTGCTACAAATAAAATTAAATATTAAACTTTTAAGTCTGTAAATTTTGCTTGGAATAGAATAGGGCTTAAAAGATATGATAGAATATTCTAAAGGTTTTAGGTGCATTAAATTCTGCACATATACAAACTCAGGGAAATGTATGAGGTAAGCAAAGTTAGGTTTTAGAGTCCCGTTATCTGTTTTTGTGCCCTTTTCATTTCCTTTCTAAGGTCCCTGATTTCCTAGATGTCCAATATTCTATTTTCATGTTAGTTCCTTTCTTCCTTGACAGAAAGCTATATAATTGATTAGTTCTTTCAAAAAAAGGGATAATTGTTTTTTTATCTTCAAGATTCCTTGAACTATTTGAATTTAAATAAAATTTTCTGGGAAAATATGTTGTTTAATCCAAAGAAATACAACTTTGGGGGTGGCTCCATAATGTAGCAGTTAGCATGTCTATTTTACACGCAGAAGGTCCTGCGTTCGTGCCCCAGGTGGAGCCACGGACCATATCCCATGTGCGCCAGCCCAGGTGCGCAGGGCCCCCCAGTGTGCTGGGGCGCCAGGCCCGCGGGTGTGCCCCAAGTGCTGGGAGGAGATGCCCTACCTTCAGAGATCCGGTTCATAAGGAGAGAGATGGCAACATCCATAGGTCAAGGGTGGAAATGTGTGGGAGGGGGAATTAAAGAGGAGAAAAAAAAAAAGAAATACAACTTTGATGTATAGATTGCCTCCTTCCTCCTTTCCTCCCTTCTTTCCTTCTTCCCTCCTTCCTTCCTTCCTTCCTTCAAGTCAGAGCAAATTTGTCTCATGTAGGCTGTGAATATAAAGTGTAGATTGACGGATCTTAGTAAAGGCTAAGTGGAAAGTATTAAACACAAAGAAGTCAAGAACTTGATTTTGTGATGATAGCTCAGGCTCTGAACAAAAGGTAAGACAAGAGGGAGACTTGGAGCTTGTATACAGATTTAAAACACAGTTTACAAGAAGACTTCAAAGACTGGAGTTGAAGAATGAACACTGTAGAGTTATCTTGTCCCTAGGCTAGTAGCATCTAGAAAAAATCTATTGTCCTAGACAAATGCTTTAGAACAGAATTAAAATCTGCACAGAGCTCCCAGCCCAGGCCCAATTAGTGTGAACAAATTCTTTTCGCTTTTAAAGATCATGACTATATTTGGTTCTTCTAGAAATGGCACCTATTCTGAACATAAGGGAACACTGGGGAGCTTCTAAAAAGCTCTCCTAATTCTTGTTTACAGTTAATATCTGCCAGGAATGGTCAGGGACCTAATGAAGAACTCTTGAAAATCTCAGGTACTTTCCCATTTAAATAAAGTTCCATTTTTTAATATAAAGGTTTTCCTGGTGCAAAATGGCTTACTTACTTACATGTTTACTCACCTGTTTGTTCATTCGTTTATATGCTGAAGTAATAATTATTTTACCTGTACTCTAGGTGATGGGATACAGTGCTGACCAAGACAAATAAGATTCCTGTCCTCATAGAAGGATCTGGTTAATGGACAAGTAAGTAATTTATACCACTCAGTTGTAACTATTAATGAAAAGTTCTTATTTCAACATGATAACTAAAGACC